CAAAATGATACAAGAGACCACTATATATAGGTCTTGACTCATAAAAGTGAAAAAAGACTAAATTGCCCTCTGGGCTACAAAGAAACATAACTCCCCACAGGGGTAAAATGGGAAAACAGTAAATCAAACAAGACAATAATAAAATACATCATGTCATCTCAATCAAAAGTAGAGGCGCTGAATCGTGGCCGTCGATCTGCGGTTTCGCCGGCGATAAACATGTCGGTAGCGTCTGTCGATGTCCTCATCACTTAATTTCTAGTTAGAAGATCCTTGGGGTTGATGGAGGTCTATTTTGAGCTGGTCTTGTGTCAAATAATTAGTTTCAATTTATTCAGTGGGTCAACCCAAGAGGCTTCCTCCTCTAAGGGGTTCGTATCTTGATAGTTTCCAGCTAAACACACATCGTTAATTTGGTACGAGCAACTAGGAATTACACTGCTTGAACTGAGCTTGGTTCTAGCCAAAGCATATTTATCTATGTGGTCAGTATGAATTAGCCGTAAGAGCCAAAGTACTATGCTTAACCACCAATGCAATCTTTGATATGTCGGGCAACATGACTTTTTTGTATCCCCTAATGTGTGGCGTACAGTGAAGTTATGTGAAATTTTTGGATAATGTTGAGCTCTTTAAGATGAGTGCTATCCAAATTTTGTCAACATGCCACTTATTACTGTGGTATGAAAAAAAGAGATAAACCTTATTCCTGTCTCTAAAATGACCAAATGCATAACATAAAACATGGACAATAATATTGGTTGTCTAAATGAAATTTTTGGACGAACATGAAAATCTTTGATGGTACTCTAACAAGGACTATGCAAATAGTGGTAAGAATTGGCTATAATAAACTATGAAATGAATAAAACATAAATCAGAGTGTTCTCTGAGCTCTATAAATGGTGAACAAACTCTTACATTATGAATATGTATGACTCAAAATGATTGTTTGAGGATAACCAAGCATCCACTATTACCTTATCTTAAAACTAGATCACCAGTGCAAATGAAATGTGGCCAAGTCAACTCATGATTTAATTCAAGTCAATTAAGCTCAACTCAATTCCATCTTTTTGATTTGGTAAGTATCAAAATTTGAAAATTTGAGAACAAATAAAAAATCTCACATTTTCAAAATTTAGATTTTTTATGAATCCCAATTTACCAACTTGCTATTAAATTTCTAGAAGTTAAAAAAAACAAATTATGAATTTTTTATGGGGACCTTTCCATCATCAACATCTACCCACAGTAAAATTTTCACATTGAAATTTTGTCTAGTTTTATTGCAATGATTTCTTCTTTTTGGTTTATTTTAAAATTCTAAAAAAAAAAAAAAACTTGGTTTGCTCGAGACAGTAGAGGGTTCTATCCAAGATAGTGTATTGTTTTGCACAGGAAATTGAGAATACTTAATGATTGAAGTTACTCTAAAGAGGCCATGTTTTGAAACTTTAAGATAGAAAAATAAGCGATAAGATACTAACCTTAAGTGAGATGAATGAGTATTACTAGTTTTAAGTACTAAAGGTCATAGAATTCAGGAATAAGATCTCCAAAATGTCCAGGTCCCCTCTACGAGTTTGAGGGATGTTATTTATAAGTGTTAAGCTAATTGTTAACTTTCTTTGGTGATTCTCGGAGAGAGTCGGTCATCAACTCATAATTTATGATTAATGAATTGCTGTAATTATTTGATAATTAAGAATTTTGTTTTATGGAATGACTTTGATTCTTCAATTAGATTTTAGGCACACAAAGAAAACCTGAGAAGCAATATTGAAACTTCTGACTCAAAATTTTATGAGGGTTGTACAGGATGCAACAATAAAGACAAGAACTTCCTCCTTAGTTGAAGAAATAGTGAGCTCTACCGTTGAGCAAGTTGAGACAGCGAGCATGAAAATTCTTGTGAAAGAAAATGAAGAGATGACTTTTGTGGACATTTAAACGGAAAAGAATGTGGAGAAATGTACCATGGTTTTAGAGAAGGAATTCAAAGAGTTTTTAGATAATGATTATTGATAGTAATGAAGGAAGAGATTAGGCACTGCTTGGAAAAAACTGAGCAGGATGATATTAAAACCCATGAATGTCATTAAGTGTCTCACTTATCATTACATTTGGTAAAAATCCCAAACTTATTTTGCTATATCAAAATTTTGACTTTTTCAAAAACTTCTAAAATATCACTCCAATTTTTCATAAAAAATTTGTAATTCAATTCCACATAATGATCTTCGTATTTTACCAAATGACATGACAATCACTTGCATTTGTTGCCCCTTTACCAAGTATGCCTTCCCCCACCATTCCTCTGGAATAAGGCTAAACTATCACCTCCAATTAAATCTCTCGTCTTCCTAGCAGTGAGGATTAGGGGTGTAGGCTTGCAAGCCGATTTGAGCTCGACTCGTTTATGGGCTCGCGAGCCGAGTTTATCGAGCTCGAGTTCGAGCTTGTTTAGTAATTGAATTCGAGCTTGAGCCGGCTCGAATAAATAATAATATTTTTAAAATAATTTTATTTTATTTATTAAATTTAAATATAAAAAAATAGTAATAATAACCACCTAAGTTTTATTTAAATGTTAAACATTTCATATTTTTTTTCTAAATTTTGACTAAGTTTTAAAACTCCCGCTTAAGTTTAAAAAATTCCGCCTAAATTTAAAAATTCTTGCCCATAGCTTGCGAGCCGGCTCTAGTTCGTTTAGAGTGAGACGAGCTCGAGTTCGAGCTCGCTTTCCAACTAACGAGCCAAGCTCGATAAGGGCCTAAACTCGATTCGTTTACACCCCTAGTGAGGATTACACGATCTACTGCTCAAAGATTTTCTTATGTCATACTCTCCTAAATCAAATATTTCGCAACAATCTTGAAAATGAGACTAAACCATACCTTTTGGATGATGCTAAACTAACACATCAATTAAATCTCCTCTTCAAGCAACACATTTGACATAGCTGAATTTTCTCACAAATTCATCAACGCTCCATTAAATGCAAATACAACATTCTCTCAATCCCTCCAAAATATGGATTAGCTAAAAGAACATAATAAAAATGATTCCAAATTTCCTTTTGCTACTCCAAATCCTATTCAAATAAAAACTATCCCAGTCCCACCCTGCTTAGCCCTTGTATAATACTAATCCCCTAGCCAACTCACCAAAGACCCAGGCCAAACTAACTCAATAATGGATAATTTGGCGAAGTAGGAATCCTTCCTCTCCCTAACGAGTCGCTCTACCAATTCACTGCTTTACCTTCTGCATCCATTCAAGTATAGTATAATTATGCCAGGTGGAGTCCAATATAACGCTAAATGCCAGTTGAAGGTCTGCAACTAACCTTAAAATTCCATTATTGCTTCTCCACTTTTTTGTTGTGACAAAGACCAAAGTTATCATAAGATGTTTTTTTTTTTTTTGCCACTGACCTATGCATTAAGTCAACTTGTTCAATTCAATGATTGGATGAGTCATTGACTATAATATATCTTGAACGTCCAATGAACTGAATAATTGCTAAAATGACATCTAGGGATTGTTTGGTTGCAAGTTAAGTATTTATAAATCATTTGTATTTTAGATATGGTACACAGTAAGGTTACTCGTTATTTTTTCAATTACATATAATGTCTTGGCAAGACTGTCCTCTCTTGCGTTACCTCTTTTGAATTGTGATGGATGGCTTACTAACCTCTTTGAATCTAAAATTCCTGACATTGCATATTAAGGTATTACCATCAATCAATACCGAGTTTCTCACCCCATCATAGCCTTTAACTTTGCTTATAGATGCTCGCTTATATGAAGATTCAATTCAACCTCTCCATTAAATTGCTGGTGGTAAGCAAAATACGGCTTAATTTTGAAAATTGCTTCTCTATGGTAATCATTTTTCTGTAAAAAAAATTTATGGATGTTCTTTTCTCATTTAGAACTAAACTCTCTTTTGTCATTTGTAATGGCAATAATCTGAAATTCTTTTGGGATCCTTGGTGTAATGGTAATTTTCTAAAAGAGATATTTGATAATAAGATTTTCTCCTCTATCCCCTTCCCTTCGGGCTCTCCTCTCAATGTGCTGATTAATTACTCCAATTTGAATTTAGATGATATATAAATCCAAACATCACCAATCTCATAAATAACCTCCCCATTCTTGTGGATGGGACTGACAGTGTTGTTTGGGATGCAAATCACAACCCTGCATGTAAGGACTTCCTTGCTTCTTTCTGCAACAATTTACCCTCCCTAAATTAATATAAGCACACACCGTATAAAAGGTTACTCCATAAGACCACGTTATTTGCTTGGCTTTGCATATGATGGGTGGCTTTAAAAGGGCAGATGTGCTTCAAGATCAAATAGGATGGCTTATAAACAAAAAATCACCTTTTTTAGCGCCGCCCTTAAACCTTCTTCACCAGATGGTTTCCTTCTTAAGCTCAATCTGCACTAAATCTAGAATCATATCAATGACATGATAGTACCATATATTACTATAAAGAACCTATAAACTATCTTACCTCCTGCAGCTGCATTTACCACATTTGGCATGAAATAAATGAAAGAAAGTTTGGCACCAACTTCTCAAGCAGTTCCACTATCTTTTAAGAAATTTTTCGTTGCTGTGAGGGCCAAGTGCAAAACTTTGAAAAAAAAAAATCTATTTGCTCTAAGATATTATATTATGATGTTTAGGAACGTTTTTGCTGCTCGCTTTTTACATACATAGATGCTTTGGATACCTTTAGCTCAACTATTTGAATTTTGAAAAGCATTCGGAGATTTTGTCAACCCCCTCGCCTTATGGTATTATATAGGAGAAATTTGGTTAGTTGGTTATTTTGTGCACATTTCATTTCGATGGTCTCCAACAACCATGGGGTTGCATTGTTAGCTCTCTCTATTAGATGTCCCCTTTCTAACCAGATTTTACCTTCATTCAAATTGAATTTGCTGGTTGTTTTTGTTGCTGGCTTCCCCCAGGACTACATTTATTAATGTGCACTGAACTGGATACATTTTCTATTTGCTTGACGATAATATGCCTACTTCTTGCTGATTGCTGACTGACCTATTCATCATCTGGCTGTTGTTCTTAAAGTTTCGATGGCTTCTGAAAAATATGGGTGCTTTGCTTGGAGAAATTATTTTGTGCTGAGGCCGAATGAAGAACACCGTCCGGAGATCAACCAGAATGCGCTATGTCAGCGGTACTGAGCAGTTCCGAGCGAATGGGTGATGTGGCGCATTTTGGTTGGTCTCCGTACGGCGTTCGGCATCCGCATAGAATAATCCGCCCTTTGCTTGGGGTTTCAATTATGACATTCATTATTGATACTAGAATGTTTTTTGTTGTTCTTACCGTTTGGATGGCCTTTGACAAATATGGGGGCTTTGGGGTTTCACTTATTACATTCATATTTTGGCCAATCATTATTGTTATAGAGATTTATCTCTTAATTTTCTTCTCTGTAAATTTTTTTACTCTTCTTTTTGTCTGTTTTGGAACTATTTGCTCAATGAAAGCCGTAACCAATCTTTAGGGGTAATAGCTAGGAAGCAACATAACCCTAGACCCCTTAACTGAGCATCTTAGCCTATAGGACTAAGTTGTAAGACCCGCCATTTGGACTACTTCTAAGCGAAGCAGTAAGACCCGCTTATTAGAGAACTTCCAAGTGAACGACCCTAGATTTAAAACTCAAAACCACAATGGGCAACCTGGTTTATAAGAATTATTTTGTAAGACCCACCACCTGACAACTTTCAAATGAAAGCCGTAAGTCCAACCTTAGGGGAAAGTCTTAGGTAAAAAAACGCCTAACCTCTAACCCCCATTAACAAACCCTTGGGCTACTTCTAAGTGAAGTAGTAAGAACCACGCGTTAGGGAACTTCTAAATGAATGACCCTATATCTAAATAATTAAATCACCCGGGCCACCTAGCTTACAGGGATAGGTCGTAAGACCCGTCATTAGGCAACTTCTAAGGAAGTCATATAATGTAGAATGGGTAGGAGGATTGAATCCTATGGGTCTTGAATATGCAGGACGGCACGTCAATAATGTTGGAAGATGTGGACAGCCAATTGGATTTTCCAAACAGTAGTTCAAGGTCTTCCAAGGGTGGAGGAAGTAAAGCTACAGCTGAAATTTCTGGCTGCAGTTTTTGGGAGTAAGAGGGTTCAATATTGTAAGGAGTTTGGAGAGGTGCTAGTGGAGGAGTTTCCACGTGATGGCCTTGGAAGATTTCGGCCAGCAGAGGAATTTTAATTCCCAAAATAAAAGAATGAGTTTTGAAAAGATGTAGAGGTGAATATAGTAAGGGGAATTTCGGCCAGCAGAGGAGGAGAACCTGAGATTTAATTCCCACTTGGGAAGAGTTATTTTGGAAAGGTTTAAGACGCGGGGAACAAGAAGAATTTCAGCCAAAAGGAAAAAGAAGAGTTTTGAATTGTTTCCAAAAGGGGTGTAGTGATTTCAAGAAACAATTTCAAAGGAGATCTCTATGGGGCCGGCGGCATAGGGAGTATGAGGTGGGAATTTTGGAGGCATTCAATGCTTTATTAAATTAAGAAATTAAATT